ATTATTTTTATTTAATAATATATAAAAATTATATAAAAATAATATAAAAAAATTTTCCTGGAAAGCGACCTCAATATGAGGTGAAAAAGAGTAATCACATGACATGCTATGATTGGCCGGGATACCTTATCCAGCAGACTTATTCCATTGTAGTTAGATTAACTATGTAATTCGATCCATCCAGGTTGAAGGAGGTCAGGAAACCCCAACCCCAAAGCACAAACCCTGGTGAGCCGGGAAAGAGGACAGGGAGCAGAAGACTATGGAACCTTCATTTAGACTACCATCTGCACTTCCCCTTCCCTACCATCACCATCATCACATAATCCCCTGTCCTGTCCACCACCACCATCATCTCATACCCTGCCGTCACCACCATTACCACCATGCCGTCCCTACAAACTCTCATCTATGCCCCAGCTTTCTCTTCCCACATCCTCCTGCGCAAATCCCCCAACCCGGACCGAATTTTCCTTTGCAAAATAATTTCAACTCAGACCCATCTGCCGTGTTCGACAAAGCTCAACACTCTTGCAATCTGTAAGTCTCTTCAATTGGTTTTTCTTTTGTCTCAGAAAAAGTGCGAATCACATTAAAACTTCAGTTGATACCATACATGGACCCTCGGGCCATTTCATTTTCAGTATTTTTCTTTAATGATTGTTATGGGTTAAAATTGCAAAATTGATTCCCTTTTCAAATTTCTGGTATTGGTGTTGTCTCTGAAGTCAAGATAAGAAAATCTGAATCGGGATTTAGTTTCTAAGAAGAAGTATACAGAATTGTGTTCGGATATTATTCATGGGTCCATTCTCATTCGTTGTTCAGTATCACTAGCATTGAAATATTAGCTTAATTATGATCGTTTTCCACTAGCTTTTGCTCATGTAAATGACCCCCAGTATCCTTCGGGAAGTTTGATTTTCGTTATTATGGTTTGAAATTAGGATATTCCAAGAGCAGGGGGAGTTCGAACATGCAGACGAGGAGGAAGAAGAAGAGGAACCGGTTTTTGTTCTAACTGAGGAGTGGAGGGAGTTCTTTGCAAAATCCGAGGCAAAGAGAAAACAAGGCAATGGTTCTTCTCTCTGCCTTATTCCTCTTTGGTAATCTTGCAAATATAGTTTCTTATGTTTTCTTTTTGTGCCCTTACAGAGAAGAAACAAGCTAAGAAGAAATAAGCTAAATGGTGAGGTTAGAAACAATTTTGTAGCACATGATCTGCTTCCATGATAAGTGGATGCCTTCCTAAAGATCTCTCACAGATTTGGCATATGTACGTTTATGAATCAATGATAATGAGGCTTGTATTACTTCCCAGCAAAGTGGAATGTCATTCTCTATTCCTAATCCTATGAAGATTTGGTAAACAGTTAGTTTCAATAGTACATATTTTGAGAAATGTTTAAGTACAACAATCTTAGCTAAACTTTTAAACAAGATGAGCTTGTTGAGAATGAGAATCCTGCCCACTGCCCTATTTAATTACCAAGAGAATGAGTAAAATCCATGTAGTTGAAATTCTCCCTTTTACACATTAATTTCAATTTCAAAATGAGTTTCAGTTGTGTCCCTTTGCCATTGCATCTATGATGCCACTGCATCTCTTTCAGATTGTCAATGCCAATGAAGCCTCTATAGACTACTCTCCCTCGTTTAGTCATCGGCCCTGCAAACAACTCTGCAATCGTATCTCCCCTGTGATTTTTCATATCTCTCTTGATATCAGGTACTCTTCTAAGCTCAAATCTTTTCGGTTTTCCTTCATCTAGCATGCCTTTTACTGATATCTTGTTCATGTTATTTTTAATATTTTTCGGCACTTTAATCTTCCTATATGTGTAATTCGAGTACCCATCTAAGAAATCACTAGCATTCTAGTATTTAATTTTAATTCTCATGAAGTTCAGCACCTGCTTGTTTCACTTCATACGTTCTCCTTAAACCTTGATACTAGAACATGGATATTTCAATTATCATGTGAATGGTGCTTTCAATTTGGATTTTGATTGTTTAGTGTTATACCTGTTGTTTTCCCTATTATACCAGAACCTTGAGTTAGTATTCCATGTGTTTCCTTCTTGATCCTTTATGATTTTGCTGATCTTGTTAACATCTATAGCTAGTCTTTTATGGTATATTATAGAAGTAAAAGAAATATTTCAGGCTTTACACATGATAAAAATTGATTTGGGTGCAGTAAAAGATATGTTTCTAGTATTTAATTTTTCTTGTTGCATTAACTGATTTGGGTGTTTGATTTTAACTTTCAAGCTCTACACATGATAAGAATTTCAAAAACAATGAAACTAAATGCTGATGGATGTTTCTTTATTCAATGAATTTTATACAATTTATAGAATTGATAGCTGCACCTAGAAAGGAACATGTTCTCTCTTTTTTAATGCAGAGATCTTATCTCAACTTCTGCTATGTGCTTTGATAAATTTGGTTTATACATAGTTTCTACTGATTAAGAAGTGTTGTTTCTGAGTATTTAAGATTGTTTCTACGAATTTTTATATTGCAGGATATTTCTTTATGTGCTTTACATTGAAGATCCCTGTGCACATTCATTATTATTTTACCCCTCCCATTCACACTGTAAAGCACACCCTTTCTCTTATCACTTTCCATACAACAAAAGATAAGTGTGAGTTTTGGTGTCTGTGGCTGGTTTTAGAAAGTGTCTTTTTATAGCTTTTGCGTGAGATTTGTGGGTTATGATTATGATTTGGTGCCTGTGCGTTGGTTATTTGAGGCAATTTGTATTTGTGCGCATGAGATGGTGTTTCATTTTTCCATTCAGAAATTTGTTGTTTGGATTTGTTTGGTTTAAGACCGTATGACACTGGATTTTTTTGGTCTGGAAATCAATTTTTATTTTATATAATCCATTTGGTTTTAATCTCTTCTGCCCTTTACGGTTTGTTTGATTTCTATTTTTTTCTTTTTACTCTAATTCCATTACGAAAGAAAAGAAAAATATTTGGGAGTTGATAGACCATTTTCATGAACATTTGACAAATTGTGTATAAAAGATCTAGTTTGCATGTCTGAAACTTCAGTGGCTGAGGATCCCTTGCTGTATATATTTTTTGAAGACCCCAATGACTTGATGGATGCACGACTCTCTTATTTTCCTTGTGAAGATCCCAATAACCACTAGTTCAATTTTCCCTTGCTTTTTAATCTGATTGTGGAAAAGGAAAACTTCTAAAGCTAATTTTTTTTGCGAGTTTGGTACAGTTTCTGCTTTCATTATGTCGGGCAAAGCATGATTGAAAGACAAGGGAAAATTACTTGTTTGTGATTTTTAAACCATAATTATTCTTCATTTCTTTTATATGTTTGCTTTTATTTCTTGTATGGGTTCTTGATCCTTATTTTCTAGTTATTGAAAATGTGAACCAAAAGTGAAGTTTTTGTTGGCCAACCAATATTTGGAAGTAAAAATTTCTGGCATGCAAAATTGATTTAAGATGTTATGTAGAAACTTAACTAGTTTACTTTCTTTGTCATGATTTGAGTACTTTGACGTGTCATATCACTACTGGAAAACGCGGTATTTTTGACAAAAATACTGTCGATAATAGCAGATATTGTCGGTTACGTTATAACCAACAGATATAAGCGACAGGATAAATTGTCAAAAAAATGAACGTCGAAAATTGATATAATGGACAAATGTAATTTCAGTCGGTTGAGTTTCATAAACAACAGTTGAAGTTGCCGGTTATGATTATAATCGACAGAAACCTCCCTGTTGATTATGTTTGGAAACTATAGAGTTTAATCGATAGATAATTTGTTGTCGAAGGTATCCATAATTGATAGAAAATTGCTGTGGATTATATGAAAAATCGACAACTACAGTCTGTCAATTATGTTTGTGTTTACACCATAAATTGCAAAATTTTAAATTAATGTCACGTGTAAAATTTTTATTGGCTGGAGGAGTTTGAGCCATGTCAGATTCAGATTTTGAGCTCCATGACAGATCAGCACATGTGTTGGCAAGACAGGAGAGGTAAAGATAATGTTTTATGGAGTAATTATCTTCTTGAAACAGAAGAGATAATGGCAGCTGGAAACTAGGAGAGGATTAAAAAGGGGATTTTATCTGATAAAGCACAGGTGGCGAAATCTGAAAGGAAATTAGACTAGGTCAAAATGTGAGGTGTCCCACTACTTCAACAAACTATCCATGGTTGAGTAACTGCTGGCACAAGAAGAACAAAAAGGGAACTTTTGCAAGAGGAACATACGGCCAGCCCTACTCAAACATCAGCAAATTTTCGTACTTTGATTTTCTCTGCACATGCTTCCAGATTTCGGTTTTCAGCACAGATTTCGTATTCCAGCACAGATTCCATTAGAAGTAGGTTGTTTTTCATCATTCTAGTAGACAAATTAATTCCTATATTCAGTTAAACAATTTTCTTTCATGCAATGAACTTCAATCCTTCAAGTTTATGCAAGGTATTGTTTTCTTTTCATTTGTAATTAATTTAATGTTTATGTTAAGTAACATTGCTTCAATGATTACTTATGTGGCTTTCATGCTTCTTTCCAATTTCAAGTTCTTCAATTTCTTCACTGTTCATGTTTAAATTTTAGTGTTAATTTAGGAGTAAATTTTCAATTCTGCAGCAATTTAATTTCTGAATCTGTCAATAGATTGCATTTTAATTTTACAATGAACATGTTTAGTTTAATTTGGGCACAGCTTTTTCTCGTAAATTCACTTTAAATTGCAGGTAATTTAGAGTAATTAGGATCTGTTAATTTTAAGTCACGGTTGTGTTTTAAGTCCTTGGAGTTGTCCAAGGTAGATTTCGTAACCCATTCTGCAGGAAGGTATCCCTCCCTCTTGCAAATCGTCTGAAGGCGCAATTTCAATTTTAATCCAACGTTCTTCCCGCCATCTGTGAAGAGGTTGACCGTGAGGAAGGAGAGGGTCGTTGGGAAAGTCCTCCTTTCTTGCTTTCAGCAAAGTAAGTGGCACACCCACAACCAGATTTCACACGTGCGAGGTCACTAGAGGATTTTTGAGGAAACAATCCTTTTTTGGCATGCTCGGTGGGACCTCATCGTGTCTTACTTATAGTTTTCAGATCCGTTGTTCTTTTTTTTCCAAGAAAAAGTGTAATCATGCCACCAAAAAGAAACCTTGGGAAGGCTGTCCAGACTTTACAGATTGGGCTTGGTGAAGGCAGTCCAACACATTCAGAAGGAGAGAATGAGCCAATCATTCCACCACCATTGTCACCAATACTTAGGGAGCATTCTTTTGTCAATCTTACCTTCAACAAGGGTAGTGAATCTGGAGATGATGTTGCTCAATCTGGTGATTCTCTTATGAAAGCTGTGTCAGATCAGATCAGCATCATGAGGCACACATTGATGGAATCTGAGGAGAAAGCTTGACAAAGAAGCCAAGAGGTTTCTAGACAGTTGGATGAGTCTTTTCAAAATTTGGCTCAAAGTGTAGCCCAAAGTGTAGCCGACATGCGGTGATCCAATGAAGAAAGTAACAGAATCTGGCGCGAGCAAAATGCAGAAAATTGGAGAGCTTTCCAAGCTGAAATGGAACGAATGCAAGAGGCATTTCGACGTGTCAGAATTGAGCCTCAACCATAAGCAGCAGATCTTCAAAGGCAGAATTAGAATATTCCAGCTCCAGCACTCGGGGGGCAAGTTAATCTGCCACAGCCACCTCCCCAGATTCAGCAGGCAGCAGGAGGACCAATGCAGCCAGATCCTGTTGAGGCTGCACCACGTGTGGCAGATCTGGGAAATCACCAGAATCTCAGATATCTGCCACCTCCGCGCCAACCAAATGGAGGACATCAACAACATAATGCACCTCCACAAAGGGAGCATTTTCAGCCTTATGTGCCACATGTGCAGTAAAATCTTCCAAATCTGCCAGGACAGTACATCAATCGTGATCAGATCATCGACATGGTGCAGGAGGCTTATGGTCCAGTTTTGAGGCCTTTAGTCAGACCAGCTTATAGAAAACCATATCCAGATTACATAGACCAAGAAAATCCTTTTCCAAGGGGGTTCAAGGTTCCAGAATTCACTCTATTTTCTGGAGATGGCGGGTATTCTACAATTGAACATATAGGCCGCTTCACAATTCAGTGTGGCGAGGCCTCCGGTGATGATAATCTGAAGCTCAGGCTTTTTCCTAGTTCTTTAACTAGTACAGCTCTCACCTGGTATCTGAGTCTGCCACAGAGTTCAGTTTATACTTGGAGGCAGATGGAAGATCTTTTTCACATCCAGTTCTACCGCAATGAGCCAGAAGTGTCCATGGCAGATTTATCTCGTTTGGTGCAGCAACCTAGAGAAACATCTGAGGCCTTTTTAGCTAGATTTCGAAAGGCCGGACTTAAGTGTAGAGTTGCCCTGCCAGAACAGGAATTTGTTAAGCTGGCACAAAATGGTCTAGACATTGAATTGAGGAAAAAGTTTGAGGGAATGGAGTTTCATGATTTCTTTGAGTTGTCTTACAAGGTGGCTTGTTATGAAAATTTATTGCGAGAAGACACACAAAGGAAATCTGCATCTCATGGGACTTATTATGGTGATGCCAACTTTGATCTGGACGTGGCAGAAGTGGTGGCAGACAAGCCAGTTGTTTGCCCAGATTTGGTTAAAGTGGCCCAGCAGACCGACAAAACAGTAAAACGTTATGTCGGAGAGGCTGGAAAACAATAAACCTTTGACATTTCAAAAACTAATGAAATTTTTGACCACCTTAAAAAGAGTGGTCTAATTAAGTTGCAGCCGGGACATAAAATCCCAATGGTTGGCGAAATTGGAAGTAGAGAATATTGCAAATATCACAACTCTTGGAAACATTCAACTAATGATTGTGTGATTTTTTGGAATGTTTTATAGGATAAAATTGACAAGGGAATTCTGCGTTTTCCAGATAAGGCCAAAGAAACTATGGGAGTTGATGCAAATCCATTCCCTACCATGTCTGTTGGGGTGAACGCGGCATATCTCAGGAGCATTGCCAGAGACAGAACTCAGACATACTATAGGCGCAGACTTGGAGCTGATGATCTCAGGTGGGTCATTGAGGAGGCCAGAGCTCGCAAAAATCAGGTCAGATCAGGCTCATACCGAAGGAGACAGCCCGAGGGGCATAACTCAACTCAACAGAAAAATAATGCAAATCAGGGAACTGCGATATCTGGACGCGCAGAAAAGCCCAGAATGGTGAAACCACCACCCAGATCTCCAACCAAACGATGGGAACGTGTGGTGCATCCAAAATTTCCTAAAGGTCAGAATCCAAGGACCTTGAGGAGGCGTTTACAACGCAAAAGGGTTGCAGAAAGTCACTGACAGCAGATTACAGACTCGGGGGGCATGGCAGATTAGGCACAGCCGCTCCCAGCAAGAAGAAAATCAGTGTGGGTCCGTAAAGAAAAAGGGAGCACATCTGATCATAATTCTCCAGAGAAGGAGGAAACACCCAGAATTCCAACATCACCTCGAATTCTGGTTGTGGAATCAAATGAAGAAACCGGTTTGAAGGCGAAGTTTGACGTGTCAGATAAAGCGGAAAATTCATCAAATGTAATCTGTTTTGGTGAGTTTTCCGTGAATCTATCATGCTTGGTGATTACTCTTCCCTTGGTTTTTCAAGCAAGAGAGCAGTCAGAATCTGCAGTCTGTCACCAGACAGATTTGGCTGAGGAAGAAGAAGTCATCGAGATCCCAGCTAAGGAAGATGATGGTATGGATTCAGCAGATAAAATCATTTTCGAAAAACCAGAAGAGAGGATGGCCAGGCACATTAGGCCATTATACATTCATGCACATCTGGATGGTATGCCAATAAATCGAGTTCTGGTTGATAATGGAGCAGCTGTCAATGTTTTGCCAACTTGTATTCTGCACAAGATTGGCAAATCTTTGGGTGATTTAATGGAGACAGAAGTGACAATCAGTGACTTTACTGGTGGAGTCAATCGCTCAAGGGGAATTCTGCTAGTGGAACTTACCGTTGGAAATAGAACTCTCATGTGTGCATTATTTGTGGTTGACACCATTGCCACTTATAATGCATTGCTTGGGAGAGATTGGATTCATTCCAGCTGGTGTGTTCCTTCAACTCTGCATCAAAAATTAATATTCTGGAATGGTGGCAGAACTGAAGTCGTGACAGCAGATGACAAGCCATTTGTAGCAAGTACCAATGCAGTGGAAGCTCGTTATTATGATGAAGATATTGGGACTATCCGTTTCTTTGGGATGGGCCGCTATGGCAGACCTTCTGGAATTACTGCATGCACCAAATCTGCAATGGACAGACAGACTGTGAAAGAGGTGTGTGATGAACTACTTCGGTCTACAGCAATCGTTCCTTTTAGGCCGAGGGAGGAACCTGAAATCGAAGAAATTCCATGAAGAAAGATCGAATTAAGCACCAGAAAAAGGAGGCCGTGGAAGAAATCAAGAGAAAATTAGCGGCCTACCTTGCTGAAAAACGGATCTGTGTAGACAGATCTGAAGTAGTCTATGAAGGTGAAGAGGAAGATTTGAAGGATCAGATAACACTAGAGGAATTAGATCTGGCACTAGCAAAGCTTGATGATCTGAAGGCAGAAGTACAAGATCCCCTAGAGGAGGTAAATATGGGTACTGAGGCAGATCCGAAAATTACTTTTATTAGCGGTTCTCTTGAGCCATGTTTGCATGATAAAATTATCGCTATTTTGCATGAGTACAAGGACTGTTTTGCTTGGGACTATTCTGAAATGCCAGGTCTGGACAGAAATCTGGTAGAGCACAGATTACCAATTAGAGCAGATTTCAAGCCTTTTAAACAATCGCCTAGACGAATGTCTCCAGAAGTCACCTTAAAAGTAAAAGAAGAGATAGAACGGCTGTTGAAGGTTGGTTTCATCAGAACTTCCAGATATGTGGAATGTTATCTAATGTGGTTCCTGTGGTTAAAAAGAATGGCAAGCTGAGAATCTGTGTAGACTTAAGAAATCTAAATCTGGCAACACTAAAAGATGAATATCCTATGCCTATTGCAGATTTATTGGTGGATGGTGCAGCACGCCATCGAATTCTGTCATTCATGGATGGCCACAGTGGGTATAACCAGATTTTTATAGCAGAAGAGGACATTTCAAAGACCGCTTTCCGCTGCCCAGGAGCTATTGGTACGTATGAATGGGTAGTAATGCCATTTGGTTTAAAAAACGCGGGTGCAACTTATCAAAGAGCCATGAACGCCATCTTTCATGACATGATTGGTCGTTTTATGGAAATTTATATTGATGATGTGGTTGTGAAATCTAATGAAGATGAAGAACATCTGGGGCATTTAAAGCTGGCTTTTGAAAGAATGAGAAAGCATGGTCTGACGATGAATCCTTTAAAATGTGCATTTGGCGTTTCTGCTGGAAATTTTCTGGGATATCTGGTGCATGAGCGAGGTCTGGAAGTAGATCAAAACAAGGCAAGAGCTGTTATCGAAGCACAGCTGCCAAGAAGTAAAAAGGAATTACAAAGATTCCTTGGGCAAGTAAATTTTCTGAGACGTTTTATCTCAAATCTGGCAGGAAAGACCAGAGTTTTTTCGCCACTGCTGAAGCTAAAATCAGAAGCAGAGTTCAAATGGGAGAGACACCATCAGACCGCCTTTGAGCAAATAAAGCATTATTTATTAAAGCCGCCGGTCTTAGTGCCTCCTTTAAGAGGCAAACCTTTGATTTTGTACATATTTGCCGTAGATGAATCTGTAGGTTGTCTGCTGGCTCAAGAAAATAGTAAAAAGCAAGAACAAGCTGTTTATTATTTAAGTCGAAGTCTGTCACAGACCGAAGTGAAATATTCTTTGGTCGAAAAATTATGTCTTGCTTTGTTTTTTGCTGCAATAAAATTGAGGCATTATTTGCTTTATTCCGAGGTTTATGTTATTTCGAAAACTGATGTGAT